AACACTAGGCCTTTGGATGTGGTGAGTCTGTTTATCCAGGGGAAATATCTCTGAATTTGTGCTGGAACTCTACAGGAAAACTTTGGCCAGCCTTGGCTAATTATAGAGCTCAGCATCTGTAACTCTGGAGGTACGTATGTGGCTGTTGGTTTGAATCTCATCATTCTCATCAAAAGTCTTTTTCACTAATGTACATAAACCTTTTTTTTATTTTGTAGGAATGTTTCAGAGATGCCTACCCAAAAGCAATGCTTTAATTGTCGTTCACTGATAGGAGTGGCAAGTAAAATTTGCCAATTTTGCAAAGCATTACAGCCCTATAAAGCAAAATTAGAAGAAGCAAAAAAGAAATTTACAAGTGAACGGAGAAACAGACAACTGAAAAACAAAAGGCTGAATAAGCTGTATGATTCAACTAATGGTAAGTGTTTTAATGCCATATTAATCAAATTTTGAAGCATTTAGTCTTATTTAAATGTGTTGATTTATTCTCGTAAGCTTATCTTACTCTGAGGTGCTATTTTTGAAGAGCATTATAACATTTATTTGTACTCTTTTTTTTTTTCATTTAGACAATAGATTTCTGTGGATATGATACAGTGAGGGTAAGCTAGTATTCACTTGGTTTTTGTTTTTTTTTTTTTTTGTTTTGTTTTTTTTGTAAGTAAAAGACACTACAAATTAATGACATTAACACTTTGTTGCAAAGCCATTGTTGAAAGGTACATCGCTCCATTCATGTTGGCTTCATTGATATGTAATGCCTTTCTGTATGCAGAAAAGCAGCCACATATGACGCTCTCACCTCCAAACTTCACTGTGAGAATGCTGTTCATACACGTACCACTTTTTTTCTACAAACAAGTTGAGCTGAATTATTGCCAAGGAGTTCTGTATTTGTTCCAGTCCAGAGTTCTGATGTGTCTAAATGCTTCTGTGCAAATTTTAGACACATATCTCTGTGCTTATTTTTTTTAACAGGGGAGTCTGGTGTGGGGTGTAGGTAATGTTGACTGTTGTGTAGTCTATTGCCTTTTGAATTCTGTGTAACTGTTTTTCATGCTGAGGTTGTTCTCTTTTCAAGTGACCTGCCGGCTTTTTTCTCACCTTCCTTATAATAAACTTTCCACTTGCGTGTTTACCCTGGCTGTGCTATGTAGCTTTTTACATTTAACCTCTTATATGGCCAATGTTTTATTACACACTTCCTATTACCTAATAATCAGTTTGCACTGATGTCCCTGTTACTGAATAATAAGCCTTAGTATGTAGTAGCCTTAGTATGTAGTAGGGGCGATTCTTAGATGCATCGCAATGCAGACTTGGACGATTCTGAATCAATTTACAAATGTAAAAAATCGATTTTCTGTATTTTAAGTGATAACGTAATATTGACGGAACGTAAAAGGCGGAACTTGGAAGTGCGGAAGTGCAGCGCCCGGACAGTCTGTGGCGGCACATAACAAAAACACTACTGGATGAGTGAGAATCCGACCGGCTCTCTCTGTATTAAAGCCAGGTAGATCAGGAGTCACAACCCAAATGATAAGACAAGCCATTTTGTCCTTTCAATAAAAAATCAGACCACCTTGGGAGCCTCAACACTTAATGTCCAGTATGTCTCAATGTGTCATAATGTCCTAGTATAGGCTAAAAAATGTAAACGAAAACGCGGACTTGCTCTGCTCTGCTCTGCTTTAAGCTTTAGCTATAGCCGCTTTCCTCCCATCTCCGCCAGAAAACTTTTCTTCATTAGTTGAATAGTTTCTTGTAAAATGTCTCAGCATTCGGATGTTTTGCGAGGCTGAAGTTGCTTTTCACTCGGCAGCTTCTTGCTGAACTTTCCCATTCCACCTTAAATTCTGACTGAGGCGCCGAATGTAAATGCGGCACCATTTAAGGTGGAACGGGAAAATTAGAAAGAGAAGCAACTTCATCTTCACAACTTTTTAGTTAGTGTTTGACTGTCTCTAGTTGCAGATTTAACGTACCAGCAAACTGCCCTGCTTATAAATGCGAATAAATCCATTCATCTCCAAATGTTCGTCTGTCTTTCTCTTTTCCTTTTTCGTTTGCTACTAGCTCGGCGAAACCTCGTTGCTACGTGAGAAACGCCAGTTCTCAGTCATTGCGCAACAGGGCTTTCGCAGCCTCTGAATCATAATCAATTTGAATCGTGAGGTGCCTAGAGATTCCCACCTCTATTGGATACCATAGCAACAGCCTAGCTACACTTTAGCAATCACTTAGGATACCATCACAACTGGCTAGCAACACCTTAGCAACCACCTAGGATACTATAGCAATGGCCCATCAACACTCTTAGTGTTGGAAGAGAAATCGAGTTTCTTTCTTTAGTTCAGTTGCAGATCGAGATGAGTGTTATTGCAAGGGGTAGCTCTAGAGCAAGACCACCTCCGACCACTGGGGGGAGACGCAGTGCAACTCCCGACTGCAATCAAGCACAACGGCCTACACCTGGATGTAGGGCTACTTAAGGCCTGAGGCAGAGACTCATGTTGCTGAGTCTTTGTTTTAGAGTTCTGGCAAACAGACCAGCCGGTAATTTCAGGTAGAAGCTCTGGAGTGTTTCTCTCGAGCTTCTTTCTCTCTGTCACTTCTCGAGCCTATCCTCTTTCTCGAGTTGTGTCTTTCTTCCTTTTTTTTAAAAAAAAATAAAAATAAAAAAATGCTAGGCCTAAGAAAAGAAAAAGGAAGGTCCTGTGTGTTTTTGTGTTATTTTTTTCCCTCTAAACTTTCTGAAATATCTCGTTTGAAGATGCTGTCTTAGCATTTCTTTGTTTTAGCCTTTGTTTCTGTCTTTTTTTTCTGTCTCTTTCTGTTTAAAACCCCTCAACAGTGTTTTCATCATCATGGTGGTGGTGGCACAGTGGTTAAATACCCATCTCAGATTTTTGAGGTTGTGGGTGCACACCTTGCTTGTGGCTTCACTGTTTTTAGGGGTCCAAGCATCGTGGGTGCATGGAGCCCTGTTGGAATCATTCTCCTCCTTTATGTTTGTAGGGAAGATGCCGTCATCCAGGCACCAAACTTGGAGATTAGGTGTAATTTTTGACCCACTTCTCAGGCAAATAAATTGAGCTCAATTGGCCTGATGGTAGTGCTATAGAGTAGCATTTTACATGTTTGGTCTGTATCTCCTGAACTGTGAGACCTAGATTAAAAATTCTTTCAGAATCTGAAACTCTGCATAATTTATTTGTGAGTTCAGACCATGCCTTCAACATGGTGGTAGTATGAGGAAAGACTCTTATACAACTATTTTGTCATACAGCATTGCTGCAAAATTTAAAAGTCTAATTCAGTTCTTTTAAATATCTTTTTATAGTAATTAATGCTTAATGTTTTAAAAATGTGTTAAACATTTTTTTTACAATTACTATTTTACAGTTCCTTCATTTTTTAATGAAGGTATCATTTTATCAACTTTTAAAATAATAATAATAATAAGGAGAACAACGAACAATAATAAGTATGCATAAATTACAGTAATGTAATTTAAAGGGTTATGGAAAAATCACTATTTTACAATTTTGTATTTCCTTGTTAATCTGTTAAAAATTCAGAACACTTCTACATTCAAATAATTTACTCTGCAATCCAAAGCATAGCCCATGAAAAAGCACCCACATAGCTTTCAAAAAATATAGATTACAGTTATTGTTTATTGTTTTTACAACTGTGTATATGCACAGTACAATAGCGTCATCACACTTGATATGTTCTACAGATGGGGAAAAACATGTTAACTGACTTTGTGTAGAAATTTGAAACATACTGCAATAAATACAGTTCTGACCACTAAATCTGATTTTAAGGTCTGCTGTTATTCCGTATATAAGTTATGCTAAAGTTATCAGCAATATAGTACTATGAACAATTATAAACAATGGGAAACAATTTTAAGACGAATTCATATGGACTAAAAAGAAAAAACTGACCAACAGAGTAATACAGAGGTCTGAACCCCAGCAGCACTGCTAACATACCTGAGCCAGATAATGATCAGCTGTCAAACAATTAATACCAGACTCAGATGTGCTGGGAGCTGGAAGAGAGCCAAGCTGTGGACATATGTGGACACAGGAAACAGGACACAGATAACTCGATGTGTATATGTCCATGCCGTAATGCCTGAACACTAACATTACTGATATCACACTGCTAATGTTACCGATCTCTCCTTTTAGAGTTAAATCCATGATGAGTGAGAGAACTGTCAGATTCACAGCCCATCGCTTCTTCCTCTGTTTTTTTCTCAGTGTTGGTCTTCTTTGTCAGAGATATGAGGAAAATGCATCTGTTAAAAAATCAATTTTAAGACAATAAATTTGAAATTACTTTTGGATCTGCATACACAAACAGGCTGAATTTAAAGGGGACCTGTTATGCTAATTTCCAATGTTCATAAATTTATTTTTGGGGTCTACTATAATATATTTACATGCTTCAGTGTTCCAGAAAGCATTATTTTTCTCATACTGTAAATCTCTACTCACCCTCTGTCTGAAACACTCTGTTAGAACTCCTGTGTCTTTAAGCCCCTCCTTCCTGATGAGCCCAGTACGCTCAGATTAGTTAGCTCGCTCACTTGGCTCTGACTGATCAAGCGCCAGAGCGGTTCCACCAATACACGGCCTCCGGTAGATGCGTTGCGTTGTGTGAGGGCATGCCAAGCTCGCTGGTAGGTGGGCAATAAGGATTGTGTTATGGGATTACATCATCTTGTAACAAAGGAAAGGGCTGGGGAACTCCAGCCCTCAGGCGGCTGAGAAAAGTGGTTTCTGTGGGAAAGAGTTTCTCCCTCTGGCATATACTTTCAGCTTTGTATCTTACACGCACAAAAAGCTACATAACAGTAAATAAAAGGGAAAGCATTATATATTCCCTTTATAAGTAGAATATAATGTACAGTATACATAATTTTACTCATCTAAAATCAACTCAGGCATTTAGTACACAAAGAAATGTGACAAGGCTTTAAATTATACCTATGCATGAACTCCAGCGTGGCACCCAGCTCTCACGCATAGCTGATGTTCAGACAATGATGTTCAGTGTAATGAAAGAAGCATCAAGATGAGGCTACTTGGGTAAGAGCACAGTTGAGTGTTGAGAATGATATGGACTGCCACCATACTGGATGAGGCCCAAAGAGAGAATGTTCCTTTGGAAGGATTGAAAACAACAAAGTTGATTAGATAATTCACAATTCTATTGTTTTCATCCTCTAACATGCCTCAGTCAACACATGACAGAAATGATCATTTGCAGTTGAGGCAGGTGTGAGCTTAGTACTGATATCTGTATCTGTTGAAAGCTGTGTTAAAGAATAATTACATGCTTTTTAAGCACAATTTCATCACTAAGATGCAAAAAAGTAGTTTGATACAAAATGTTCCATTGTGGAAAAACTTACAGAGTCAGAGTTGTTCATAGTGGCAGGGACAAGAACCAGACGGTTGAAGAGTTCAATGCCTCTAATCTCTCTCACAGAGACTTATTACATGAAATGATTATTAATAAGAGCTAAACTTTATTAGAGCATGTTTACCACATGCTTTATGCTATAAATTGTAGCGCTCTGAGACTTGCAGTATTACACATTAAAGCACTGTGAAGAAGTAAATTCATAAATATTGACCAGTGTTGGTGATATTGCCATATCGATATTTTGAACACAGCTGTAATGGCAAATAACATATTAATAAACTGAATGAACAAAGCGCAGATATTTGAGTACTGTAACCCAGCTTTACCTAAACATTCTGCTCTTCTGTATTACAATAAATACTTCATGAAATATATTTGTTTGAAATACCCACCAAATCTAAACATCTGTCTGACATTCATATAGTAACTTGAGTCTCACCAGTTGCTCAGCTTCAGATGATTTCTGATGAGAAACATCTAAAACAAAAGAGACACATGAGGTAAATGCAGCAAAACAATAACAGCCAGGCATTACAATGAAAAACACAAAACAAACTGGTCATTATATATTACTAATAAATGTAGCCGAGTAAAACATAGATTATTAATATAAAGCACAAACAATACATTTTAAAAATACTCTAGAAAGTACAAATCCACCAAGACGTTACTGGAGTAAATGTAACTGAGCAAATAAAAATCATTACCACCCTCTCTGAACTACACAGACTGACGGACTATGTTCAGTTTCATTGTTGTATTGATCAGCGTGCTGACCCTGCTGCACTGTGTTCAGTCTTAGATTTAATTCTGAGGCAGCCTCTCATTTGGAGCGGGGCTAAGCGGCATCTGACGCAGCCGCGAGGCGCCAACAGACAGCTAGCTAGCTAGCTAACTACATACGCTAACCTAACGCTGGTGTCTTCACTCGGCAGATCGACCGAGAAATACAGAAATAAAAGTTTACTCCAGCTGACTGTTAGTGAGGCTGCTCATCTCATTTTGTCACTACTTACCTTTTAAAAGCAGATTCTGACCGTTGCAGTCGCCACTCCACTCAGTCCAGTCAGCTACTTAGCTAGGTTAGCGTTAACTACGCAGCTGAAAATCCTCCTTTTTTTGGGAGCTGAAAGCGTCATCCGGCAGGCGGCGCTGTCTTAGTAAGGAATGTAAGAGACTGGTTTAACACTCGCTAAACAAACTCGATAAAACTGCCCGCGTTAGCGACGTGACTGAGTCACTCACTGTAAACGGCTGTAACGGTCGCGCTTGGCTTTAAAAGGAGGAACGGCGGAGAGCGCTCGCGCTTCTAAACCGAACGTCCAAGCGGCGGAGTCTCGCGCTCTAATTGGTCTGAAACTCCCGCCAGTCTTTTGTTTGTCCTCCCATAGAGTTTTTTTTCTGGTTCGCACCGCCCTGCTCTACTGAATGAACTGTGCGGTTTTGTTTTTGTTTGTTTGTTTGTTTGTTTGTTTGTTTGTTGTTTTAATCTAGACACAGAATAGAAAACTGCAAACTCTTGAAATACATGAGACAGCTGTACAGCATTATTTTACAAAGCATCACTGGAGGCCATGTCTTCATATATTAAAGTCAAAGTATGAAGTTGGACATTTAAACAAAAATCAGTTTATTATGTAATTTTACGTGGTGAAACAATACAGGTCTTTTATATTACTACTCAAATACATTTGTTTATTATTGTTTGTTTTCCAAATACCTGGAGATAATCATTTTGAAAGTTATACACAGTATATAAAAAGTTTGTTTTCTTTTTCTGTTGGGCCAAATTAAAAGTCCTAATGGTCTAACTTTGGGCAGCCCTGATCTGCTTAAGAAAATAAACAGAAGTGTAGTGAACCAAGGGCTTTTTCTGCATTAAGTTTTGGTGGTATGTGATCTCTGAAGTACACAGGTTAGCTGTTAAGTACATTTACTTCCTATTAGTTCAAAGTTGTTTTATCTTGGTTCCTAGCTTGTTGTCTCTGGTTACAATTCGACATTTGAAAATAGATCAATGTTGTGTTAATCATAGCATGTTTTCTGCAAATGAGCAAAAGGCTGTGACTGGCTGTGATTATCTCCTTTGGTAAATGTTACAAATTAAAAGTTATTCTACCATGAACTTCAATGATGTAAGGAAATGAGTTTAAACATTTTAAGGTAAGGTAAATGATTTAAGAATTGATTTTTTCGTTTGCTGTTTTGCTACTATAAACACACTTCTGCAATAATCAAAAAACAAAACATACAAAAAAAAAAATAATCACAAAAGTACAGCAAGTAAAGCCTTAGTGAATGTTCTTTTAGTAATATCACACAAAAACCATAAGATTACAGCAGGCTGTTTCTTGAGGACATACTTGTTATATTCTCATTATATTTTACATTAGGCAGTGCTGTGGTAATCCTGGTAATCCTCAGTAGTAATTTTCAGTTTGGCAGTACCACAGGAATACCACATTCATACCACAGAACCTTTTGTAATGGACCACTCTTTGGACTCAACTGAACTGTCTTAAGACACAACATGTCAAAGTGATGACCAAAGTGAACAAAGTGATGTCTTAAGTCATGCCTCATCTTCAAGACACACAAATTAATTACTTCTTTGTCTTAAGACGTTAACTTTCATGTCTCAAGACAAAAATCGTGTCTTCACTCATATGTCTTAAGACGTTCTTGAGATGTCTTGGCATAAGAAAATGTCTCAAGACATCTTATAAATACTGTCAAGACATCTTAAGACACAGTGACAGCTGAGTATGTACTGTTTTGTTGTTTATTATGTAATGAGATTAAACAGGCAAGTCTATATTGATTACTGTGTTATATTTACATCTTAAATGATCGGGTCAGTTTTATCTTGTGGACTGCAGAGGCATCTTGAGATTATTCAAAATGCACACACATGTTCAAACAGACCATCCAACTCAAAAGAAGAGATATGCAACAAAATACTGACCTAAATAAAATACTTAATACTGAGCCACATAAAGGAAAGAGACGCTGATGTTTGTAAGACACTGCATGTGTTTCAGTGATTTTACATTATTAATTCAGTTTTGAGTTGTACATAGACCTCTGTTTAGGTCATGACCCATGCAATACTTTGTGAATAAAACTTGGCCTACTTTTATAGGGATGGTCAGTCAGTCATGGAAACAGAGGTTCTGGAATTGCTTGTCCTTTTAAACCACACTTTGGAACGGGGCTTTGCAACCAGGCGGAAACACCAAGAGCTGTTGGATTATTTGCCACAACATGACTCACACAAATTCAGAAATATAAGAAAAACATCCTTAGAGAACTGAGAATAGAGAACAATCATCTCGGCAGGTCAACACATTTATACAAACACACATACCCTCACACACAGAGGCTTAACTAAGACAAGGCTTAATGAAAGGAATCAGCAGGCTGAGGTGGGAGGTGGGACCACCCACAGGTAGGCGCCCATCTAACACAAACTTGATCAAAACAGTAATAGCTTTATTAGGTATGTAAGCGACTCACATCTGTCATTAATGTGAAGAGACCTTTAGGAACACACGCACAGCCTGATCAATAACGTCAAGTGAACGAAACACATGCATCATGAACAACAAGCTAACCAGCAGAACAAGCCTTCTTCATTAAGATCATTTGCTCTGAACAGATCATAATCAGAGCGAGACGAAGGCGAAACACTGTAAACGTCAGGCCTCCAGTCCAGTATAACCGCTGAGTGTAGCTGGACACATGAGAGGAGCTTAATTAGGCCTGTATTTCTACATACATATTTCTATATACAGAGGCTGAACTAAGACAAAGGCCTTAAGACAGAATTTAGCAGGCTGAAACTCTAAGAGTTGAGAGAGGGAAAGAGAAAGAGATGGAGATGTGCTATCTAGAGAGAGAAAGAGCAGCAATAACAGAGAGAGAGGGAGAGAGAGAGAATGCAGCATTAGGAGAGAGAGAGAGAAAGTGTGGTGCGATAGACAGAGCGAGAAAGAGAGACAGTGGTGCAATAGATTGCTAGAGAGAGGTGCGATAGATAGATAGAGAGAAAGAGAGAGACAGAGAGAGAGAGACCTGCTGTATGTTCTAGGAGTGTACTGGTAGTGCAGTACAGTACATTTACACCTGCCACAGTCTGAGGACAGTAAGTGACCACATCATGTCAGAGATACACACCTACAAACATGCATTATACTAATTATTATTATTATTATTAGTAGTAGTAGTAGTAGTAGTAGTATTTTTGTTTAAATATGTAGTATTAATATTATTATTACTTTTTTCTGTATTCTGTTTGTGTACATTTCAAAAGCTCTGGCAATAGAAGTGCTAATATTTGTCATGCCAATATTGAACTGAACTGGAATTGAGAGAGAGAGAGAGACAGAGAGAGCGAGAGCTGCGCAATGGAGAGAGGGAGCAAGAGAGAGTGGAGAAAATGCGTGAGTGCCTGAAATTTCTGTAAAAAGGCCAGATTTACTCCACTGTAAAACAATAATCATTTTAACTTATGAATGTAAGTAAACTGGCTGTTTTCAGTTCACTGAAACTGTAATAGTAGGTTTTGAATGCTTTGTTTTAACGTCGTCTTTTATACCTAAAATATTGTTTCTTGTTGGGTTTCAGGGAGGAAGAGTTTCACTGGATGACTGTTCAGTTTCTGAAGAATATAAGACTATAAATGAAATGTTGATAATGATAGTGCATTAATGAGGAAACCTCTCCAATTTTGACACATTTTGTTAACCTTTTGTCACAATTTTCTTATTTTGTTTGTTTTTTTTTTTAAATCATTTTGTTAATATGATCCATTTAACACTGCTGAATAAGCCCTGCATTAAATATGAAAGTAGCCCATTTTAAAGGTTACTTTGCTAAACTTATGGGCTGAGCCCTGAATCTTCCAGCCAACATCCCTGGGTAACACCATGTCAGCTAACCTCATTCTCCCCTGTTGTTGTTGTTGTTGTTTGTTGTTGTTGTTGTTGTTGTTGTTGTTATTAAATCAAATAATAGTAAAGTCTGTGATGAAAGACTGTCCCAAACTATACAGTCTCAAATTACCTGATGTCTTAACTGGCAAAACACAAACAGAAAAGGTGTATGAATACATGAGGGTCATTCCAAAATGCTGTACATCCATTCGTAACAATTTCAGATTTACTTCTCTAATAAAGCTGATATCAATCATAATATAGCATTAATATTTCTTAATTGAGTAAAGTCCATTCCCAACATTGCATATCATGGACAAAAAAGAAAATTCTTGTGGACTGTAGTGCATTTTGGAACTAAACCCTTCATATATAAACTTCCATAACTCACCCAGACAGAACAGTCGGATTGAACAGGCTACTTTATTAGAGCAAAATACAAAAGATCAGGCATATTTCATTTGAGCAGTTTCCAGCCAGCAATATCCTTCTGTGTTAAATTCCAGCTTAACTCAAATTAAAGCACTTTTCTGAACACGTTACCTATTGATAATGCCCCAAGTCATGCACATGACTCGGATTCATGAGTTTCAAAACAGGAAAAAAATCATAATGCTAAATATGTACGTAGCTCACAATTAAAGACAATCCCATTGAGTGGAACCCATTGACATCCTCTCAATAATAATGCCATAATAAGCAGAACACTAACACGGTTACTAGGAGATGACGAAGGTGCCCGTCACCTTCAAGAGACCAATGAGTGAATCACGTCAGCCTCCTTGCTTGGCTATTTAAGGTTGTAACCGGCGCATACACAAGGTATTGTTGTGTTTTTCTCCTTGACTTGTTCTTGCGTGCTGAACTACAAGCAACATGAACACTACAAGAAGAGGCCAAGCTGACTGTGCCAGTTTTTCAATGCTGTCTCTCAACGGGACACAGCCGCCGTCACCATTGCCTTCTGATGTGGCCGTCTGTCAGTTTGGGAGCATTTTCAACAATGAGGCCTTGATGTACGTCTCAGGGGTATTGGTTACGGCCTTCTTTCTGGTCTCCCTGGTGATCAACACTTTTCTTCTAGTTGGACTGGGGCAGTCAGAGGCTCTCTCCTGGTGGGCGCGGTATAGATTTTTGAAGAATCTAATTGCCAGTGATCTCCTGCAATCAGTGACTCTGACGCCTTCTTTTTTATACAACTTAATTTACCGTCATACTCTGACATTTGGTGTGTTTTGCGTTGTTCAGTTTTTCACTGTTACTCTGGCCATCGTCATCTCACTCCTGACTGTCTTCTTCATGGTTTTGGAGCGTTTTGTGTACATCTGCTGTGGCATTAATTACTTGGTTATTATGACAAACGTGCGTATATACACTTGCCTGTCTCTCATCTGGCTGCTGGCGTTGGCAGTGGCTATCACCCACATTGTTATCATGATGTTAGGAGGACCCAGGTTTGGTCACAGCATCCCAGGATTAGTGTGTGAACCTGGCGTCATGCGGGTGCAGATGGCATTTTCATTGCATTTCGAGATGTTCGACAAGGTGACTATGGGAACCTTACTTTTCCTTGGTCTCCTCGTGTTCTCCTTTTCCTACAGCCGGATGTACCAGGCAGCCAGGCAGGCGCTGCAGCCCTTCCGGCAGGACAATAAACGTGCTCAGTGCACTGTGGCTTTCTATCTAGGTGTCTTTCTCCTGCAGCTGTTTCCATGTGCTTTTAAGTTTGTCACTATGTATCATGAGGAAGCGCACTACCACTTGGTTTATGTGTTACTGCTCTTGGTTCCACCATGTGTCAACCCTCTGGCTTACGGTTTCAGAAACATGGAGGTGCGCCGGGCACTACAGCGTCTTTGTGGTTTCAGAATGACTGTGAGACGACCAGAGACTGACGATAACTTACACGGCTTGTCTCTCGCTCTCAAGGCTCCTCAGACGAGCCCAGTCTAAACGTTCAATGATTTTAGGGCGTCCAGAGGCACCATAATGCACCGTGCTGCAACCTCTCAGACCCCTGCAACCTCACTCACCCCTTGATATCACATGATGCCAGAGTGCTGTTGTGAAGATGCAAAAGTAGAAAGCATTCAGGTAGTGAAGAGGAGAGCATATTAAACACTGAAATTTCATGAATTGTGTTGTAATATTCTGTATGTCTCTGCATGTTATTTGATCATGTTGGTTTAAGGCAAAACACTGCAGGCAGCAGTGATGTTGATTTTGGTCCTGTCATTCATTTTTCACATTCTTTAATCATAAGCATTTCAAAACTCAATAGAAACACTGCAAAAAATGGCATCTTATCAAGTGAAATGATCTTAAGTCTAGTCGATATGTCTAATATTTCCCATTTTGAGATGGTTGTGCACTTATTATAAGATTAACCAGCTGATTTCTAGACATTTTTTACTTGTTTTAGGTCATTTTATTAGTGAAATTATCTCACTGTACTGGCAGACCAGTTTGCTGGTTTCAAGCACATTTCGAAAATGAACAATGTCTAGAAATAAGGTACATAGTCTTAAAGCTTGTGACAACCTCAACAGGAGAAATATTAGATATATTCACTATAGTTAAGATAATTTTACTTGACGAGACACCATTTCTGGCAGTGAATATGTTCTTCACATCCACTCAGATATATATTTGTCTGTTGTTTAAATAATCTTCACCTGCAGTGTCTTGCCTAAAATGCTGCTATCTGAAAGTAAATATGTTCGTTTGTGCTATATGGGATTTTTGACGTGTAAAAATGTGTTGTGTAGTGAAATTATTAGCATTAGTAGTGATTGTGACCATAAGTATTAGTAATAAATGAATGCTACCTTTATTGTAAAGTGTAGTGTTATGTAGTTATGTAGTTTAGTATGGAGCCAGATTATTCAGTCAAGTCTATATTGATTACGGTGTTATATTTGTAATTTAAATGATCAATTAAATGTCATTGTGAGTTTCTTGCTAACTCAGTGTGAGCGAAAACGTCAGATATAACCGTGTAATTATAAGCCCACAAATTTTGTGTTAATGTGTTGCTGAAATGAAGCTTTACCATGTTCAAAAGTGCATAATGCCAGCTGAGTTATGATTTATGAGTCAATACTTTGTGCCTAACTGAGCAATAGCCAGCTAGAAAAGTTGTTTTACTTTAAAAGAAATGTTGAGAAGTGAATCCAAATGCACACACAGGTTCAAACCCACCATCCAACTCTATATTTCATTAATATTCTCAAGAAAAGAGGAAAAAAAGTGGTTAAAACACTACATAAAGGAAAGAGACACTAATGTTTGTTCCAGTGCTTTTGCTTGCCTTGTGTTCAGTGGTAGTTCAGTGGTTACTCTCTTGTTTTCAGTGGTTGTTATTGCTGGTTATTGTAGCTTTGCTGATGGATACAAATGAATAAATGACACATTTACAATGGAAAGTAATGAATAAACAAGATATAAATCGTATACGTTGTATTCAGAGCGTCCTAAGACTATTTTTGCACACTATTTCACATCAAACATCTCAGATCAAACTGTACATGGACAATTCAGGTGTCATTTTTCAAGCATGTGTGAAGAGCTGGAATAAACAAATAATAACAATAAGTAAATAAAAACAAGAACACAAGCATGCGTGTCTTGTGTGTTTAATAAATCAATACATGATATTTACAATATTAAATTTAGCACTGATAAAACAGCTTTACAGTAACACAATAACAGAAGAAAATCAAACTCAACTTTAATTTCTTCTCTTCCTGTCTAACTTTATCACCCATCTGTGAAGCACTTTGAGCTGCCACCGGTATAAAAAGTGCTTTATATATAAAGTTATTATTAATTAAATAATTAGAATATCTGTCATACAAGAAGGGTGAGTTCTCTTTAATACCGTTCCACTGAGTGCCGGAACAAAAACCTTCATGAAGTCAAGCCAGTACAGTTACTGTCACACAGCCTTCTGCTAAAGCTGTGGCTACAACTTTTTAACTGTTCTCTTAGAGTCGCCCACACTGCAGTAAAACCCACTAACCACTAGAATTATAAACTTTATACATGAAAGAATAAGTGGAGGGTCTAAATCAGGGGTGCACAACTCCGGTCCTGGAGGGCCGGTGTCCAGCACAGTTTGGAGGTTTCCCTGCTCAAACACACCCACTTAACTTGGCAATTAATAGATGAGTGAAATCAGGTGTGTTGGAGCAGGTAAATCACCAAACTGTGCTGGACACCAGCCCTTCAGGAATGGGGTTGTGCACCCCTGATCTAAATAGAAGTTCTGTGTAGAACCTTTCTGAAAAGACTGCTATTTTTACGATGTCAAGCTTGTAACAATAGAAGAACGCTTTTTGGTGGCATATAGATTCATTTCACCTTGCAAAGAACCATTTAATCATGCAAATGGTTCTTTGAGTGTCCATGGTTCTATATAGAACCATATTTATATTAAAGAACCCTTGATGAACCATGAAACACATAAGAAATGCTAAGAAATACTACACTCCTACAAAAGATGGTTCTTCAAGTGTTCTTTAGTAAAGAACATGGTTCTAAATAGAGCCATGAACACTTAAAGAACCCTTTGCATGATTAAATGGTTCTTTGCATGGTGAGATGGTTCTTCAGATTGACTGAGAATGAGCTGTAGGCCGTTCTATATAGAAACTTTCTGCAAAGGCCTCCAAAAGAGTTCTGCTATTGTTACAATGTCAAGCTTGCCATCTAGAACAATTTCACCATGGAAAGAATCATTTGGTCATGCAAAGGGTTCTTTGAGTGTATATGCTTCTATATAGAATAATTTCTATATTAAAGAACCCTTGGTGAACCATAAAATACCTAAGAAATGCTAAGAAGTACTACACTCCTAAAAAGATGGTTCTTCAAGGGTTCTTTAGTAAAGAAAATAGTTCTATATAGAACCATGAACACTCAAAGAACCCTTCGCATGATTAAATGGTTCTTTGCATGGTGAGATGGTTCTTCAGATTGATTGAGAATGTGCTGTAGGCCATTCTATATAGAAACTTTCTGCAAAGGCCTCCAAAAGAGTTCTGCTGTTGTTACTACTGTTATTATGGTTCTACGTAGAACCATTTTTTATACTGAAGAACCCTTGGTGAACCATAAAATACATAAGAAATGCTAAGCCAGTACAGTTACTGTCACACAGCCTTCTGCTAAAGCTGTGGCTGATACTTTTTAACTGTTCTCTTAGAGTCGCCCACACTGCAGTAAAACCCACTAACCACTAGAATTATGAACTATATAGATAAAAGAATAAGTAGAGGTTATGATATTATAAAACTACACCTTCATCAAACATGTACACAGTCTTTAGAGCCTCCTTGTTCACAGAAAACTTCATACAGTCAGTATCATTAAGAAAGGCTGAAGTTACATTGATTCATGAATGTGATATTCACCTGGTATCAACAACAGATCAATCATATATCTTTTATTTTTGAGAATGTTTTTTTCTATGAGAATGTAACAACACAGCTAACATCTCCAAAAACATTCATTTCAAGCTCTACGTTCTGGAATTGATCCATCTAATGCCAGAACACAGATATAAAGGTACATTAAAGAAAGAGATGCTCTATAGTTATATTTCAAAATTAGCAGCTATAATCAATACTCAATTTAAATCTCTCCAAAGGAACCTCAGATAAAGAACCTCAGAGATAAATTCTATGTAATGTAATCTTAATGACGTCTTAGATTTTATTTGTAATACAGTATTGACTGAGTGCACACCAGGTATCTTCCCATATTAGATTGTGAAACATTGAGATTCATATAGATTGTGAAGGAGGTGTAACAGGCTAATTACACAATGATCTATTACACTGATACACTTGTCATTACAGTATCAATGTCAAGCAAAACTACCTTAAATCTAGTCAGTATGTTCAATATTTGTCCTGTTAAGATTGTTGTAAGCTTATTTTAAGATTGTTTCATTTATTTCCAAACATTTTTCCTTGTTTTAAATAATTTTATAAGGTAAAATCATTTCCCTATATTGACAGATAATTTTGCTTGCTTTAAGAAATGGACTTGACACAAGCTAAACTGTCTGCCAGTATAGTGAGATAAATTTACTGAATAAAATTACTTAAAACAGACAAGCATGGCTAGAAATAAGCTAAATAATCTTATAATAAGTGCACAACCATCTCAAAATAAGAAAAAAAAATAGATAAATCGGCTAGAATTGAGAATTTCACTATTCATTATTTCATTATTTCATTATTTTGCAGTGTATGATCTTTAAGCAAAGACAAACCCTTGTCAGATATGGATCCTAAAACGATTATGTCTTCTAAATCTGAAATGTGGCAGTTTGATCTCAAATGAAGCTCATCAACATGTAAGAAGTTAAATGATCTGCATTCAGTAGTTGATGATTGCAGAATGTTAGCTTGGAGCCACTGATTAAAAAGAGATCTGCTCTGATGAATAACATATTTATTATTCCAAATGTAAAAAGTTATTCATAAACCACACACCACACTTATGGAATCTAGAAAGCTTAATAGAAAATTTGTTACCATCAAAATAACATTTCAAAAGGTTATACTTCCAAGTTCTTGAAATAAATAAGGAATGAAAAAAGCAACAAAAAGAAATTGCTGCCAAGTATCTTTGTTAAGCTTATGTGAAAAGATTAAAGTGAGAGTGAGAAGACTAAAGAAATCAGATACATAACATATTAAAATGTATCTATAAACACTGGGTAACACTTTACTGTAGGGTGCAGTCCATAAGGCTACATGACACCTACATAAACTCATCATGACAACCGACAGAACTCTACATAAATGTTTAGAAACGCTTATTCCAACAGGCAGCATCTGTCTTAAAGGCTACATTAGCTAACTTTGATGAGAACTGGCAAATATAACCTTTATAGTGAATGACGCCTATTGGAATAAGCATTTATAAACATTTATGTAAGG